CTGGGCACGTCGCCTCCACCTCCACTCGGGACGTCCCCGCTGCCACCTCCAATGGGGCCTGCGCCACCACCAGGGCTAGCTCCCGGACCCGCGCGCAAACCGCCTCTAGGGGTCGGACCTGAAGGGAGGCCACCTCCACCGGGCACGTCACCTCCACCGGGCGCGTCACCTCCATCTCCTTCACCTGGAGCCGGTGTGATGATGTCCATGTGCAGCTTGCCATCATCTCCCATGTACACCTTGGTGGTCTGCTCGATTTCCCCCATACAGTCATCCTTGGCGGGCGTCTCCGTAGGGGCGGCAGGTGCTATGCCCGGCGCCACGACCATGGTTCCATCAGGCTGCAGCATAAAGGTTTGACCGGGACCCGTAGTAACTGGCTGTATTCCAGCGTTGACCGAGGGTCCGCCGTACCCGGGTCCGCCGAACCCGGGCTGGCTAGGAGACGGGTAATAGCCCGGGGGATACGGTCCCATCATCGGGTGTTGGTAATACATGAGTGCGGGCAACGTCGGTTGCACAGGGCCTCCGGCTTGCTGCATCATTCCCGGCTGCTGCATGGGCATCATTCCCGGCTGCTGCATGGGCATCATTCCCGGCTGCTGCATGGGCATCATTCCCGGCTGCTGCATGGGCATGCTTCTTTGACGGAATGGCATCAGGATGGATTCTTGGTGCAAAGGGAACAGTCCTTGCTGCATAGGCGTGGGTGCTTCTTGCATAGGTGTTGCCATGGGTCCTTGCTGCATAGGCAGTATCCGGGGTTGCATGGTCGTTGGTCCTTGTTGCAAAGGAGTGGGTTCGATCCCGGGAGTCAGTTCGTCCGCGGGGGTAGGGGGTATTTCTGGAGCGTCCGGGTCGACGGGTAGCAGTTCGACGGGGATCGGTTCAAGAGTGACCGGTTCAGGAGTGGCCGGTAGCGGAGTGGGGTTTTTGAGAATGGCTCGTTTGAAGCGAATAGTGCTAGCAATAGGGCTGAAGGCGGCCCTGTAACCGACGTTGATGCCGCTGTCTATGAATTCTTGCACGGACGTCGCCAAGGGGAACCTTTCGGGATCGGTAATGCCGAAGAGTGAGGCGACTAATCGTTTCGGATGCTTCTCGCTGTCTTGTGCGACCTGCGCCATTTCCTCCTTGGCGGCCAAGTGGGAGTCGGCCACGTTCGTTATCCGGCGCTTAACACCATTGACCAGACGGGCAGCGTCGTTCGTAAAAATGTCGTATGTATTCACCACCTGGTCATTCAGAGTCTGAGCAACCCTGCCCAGATGAGCCGGGTTAGCCAACGAGTCCGGATGTCTGAGCAAACTGTCCTCAGGAAGAAAGCTTCCCCGAACCGCCAACAGGACCGCCAACAAATACGCGACACCCAACGGCGGCATACCCTTTTGGACGGAAGAAAACTGTGTACGCGCGCTAAAGGAAAACCACGCCACACTGGTGTTGAATTAGCGGACATTGGGTTCCGACTGGAGGTTGAGGAACGTCTGGAGCCACAGCTGTTAGGCAGTTATATTTGGGGAAAAACATTGCGTTGTTTGTGACCATTTTTAGACCCCTGTCTGTGTAGTCGTAGTAGTGTTCAGGATGGATCTTGGGCGTGTGGAAGAGTTGGGGAAGGCGGTATCATTGCACTACACAATTCCGACTATACATGTGACTGGTAATATGAAATGTGATTGCATGGCATGATGGCTGATTTCAGGTACCAACGGCAAGGGGAGTGTGGTGTCATTGATTTCATCTATGCTTATGGCGACCGGATTAAGCGTTGGAAGTTACACTTCTCCTTACCTTGTCTGTCCTCGGGATGCCGTCCGTGTGGATGGTAGCCTGGTCGGAGTCGCAGTGTATGAAGACGTCTTCCGTCATGTACAGAGACAAAGCCGCTTGGTTTGCAAACGACTAAGTCGAAAAAGCCCGCTGGGGAAGTGTACACTCGTAAACGCGGAAGCCGGAAGAGAAAAAAATGATGGAGGAGGAGGCCGTGGGGATGGACCCGACGTCAACGATAATGGGGTACGAGAAGGCAACGGGGCAAGAGAAGACAACGGGGTGCGACAAGACAACGGGGTACGAGAAAACAACGGGGTGCGACAAGACAAGGGCGTGCGACAAGACAAGGGCGTGCGAGGAGACAGGGTGTGTGCAGACAGAGAGTATGATACAGACAGAAAGTCTGACGTAAAGTATAGTGCAGAGCGTAAATATAGCGAGGCAGAGCGTAAGTATAGCGAGGCAGAGCGTAAGTATAGCGAGGCAGAGCGTAAGTATAGCGAGGCAGAGCGTAAGTATAGCGAGGCAGAGCGTAAGTATAGCGAGGCAGAGCGTA